AAAAAAAGGGTGCTTACAAGTTCAGTCCCTGGCTTCACAATGAAGCCCTCCACGTGGAGGGGTGAGCACAGCATCACCTTCAGGATGTGTAGAAATCTTGCCCTTGTACTTTGATGCTCCAAGGCATCAGTTTGCAGCCCTGGAGCTGCACACTCTCACCCATGGCTTTTCTCAATCAGAGCAAGGAGGAAAGTTGCCTCTTTCCCCCATGTGGCCACAGTTGAGGCTCACAATGTCCACAAAGCTCTCTAGCACTCAGCCACAGCTGCACTCAGCCACTTCCATCTGCTCATAAGGTTTGTCCCTCAAGAAACAGTTCTGATTCAACAATAAAGCAGTCAATATGTTGACACATTTACTGTGCCATTCCAAACACACTTTTGTTTCACTTGGTCACTAGAAAGTGAAGGAAAAGCCATAGGCAAGGACAAGCATTTTTACTGTTACACCAATAGATTTTTAAGCCTATACTGCTCTACTTTAAAACCTTGGGAATTCAACCTCATTCTATCCTCTCCCATGCCAGCCGTAACACTTCTTTAAAACTCCCTCTTTTCCTGACGTGTTACAGAGCCGAAAGCCCTGTGGTAGTTTCAACTTCAGCATCTTTTCAGCAGTCCCCTGATTTATGGGCCAACGGTTTCAACATTCTCACTTTTTACACTGGAGCCTGAAAAACGGAGCAAGAAAATAAAAACTAAATAAATAAAAAAGGAGAGCTGACGTGTAGCAGCAGGGTAGGATCCCTCAAGACGTGCTCATTCTGTTCCCTCCTTACTTGTGAAACAGATGGTGTTTTATGCTTAACACAATCAGGACCATTCTCTATCTGTTGCCTCCTAACCTTCCCCACCTGTGTGAAACCCAGCCAGAGCTTAATGAACATACTTGGAGCTGTCTGGACTGAATTAGTCCCAGTAGGAGTTACCCTTCAGGTACTCCACAGCCTCTCATGGCCGTGTAACTGCAAAGGAAGACAAGAAACCTTTACACTGTGGCTAATTAAATAAAGGTTTGCCCCTGCTAAGTGCATGTTTTCCCCCTTCCAAAAGCAGGTAACGTCTGGTGTGTTGAGCTAGTCTGGAAGTGTTTGCTGCTATCTTGAGCATTCGGGGAGACAAGTGGCATGAAAATGGGGTCTGAATGTGATTCTAAGCTCCATTTGTCTTCTATTTTTAAAGCTTTCCTCACTTTCACTACCAAATTATGACAATTATTACCTTGCAGACGTAAGTCTTTACCAAACGAATGTTTTTCAAAACACACACAAAACAAAACTTCCTGTTCCTGTTGCTCATCCCCAAATTTGCGTTTTTCCCCACAGAAAATCTCCTTGTGGCAGCTGATACTTTAGAACAAAGGTGAAATTACAACCTGGGTACTTTGACCACACTCCACATCCCAGAGGCAAATATTAAAGATGCTAAGACATGCTAAAGTCATTTCCCCCATGCTCATTATCGGTTGTAGAAAATCATTGTAGTGAAGTCATTCAAGAAACCTGAGGTTGCTTTCGAAGTACCTGTGGTGGAATCATTGAGTCACCTTTTACACCAACGTTTTTTTGCTGGCTTTCATTCCTCTGCCTGATGTATGAAGCAACTCTGCCTAGTTTCCAACCTGAATAAGCACAAAGCTTCATTAAAGCCTGCGGTATATTGCAATTGCTACAGATTGACCTTCCTCTTCAAAAGCTATTCGCTAAAATGGTTGTACAAAGATCTCTGAGAGTTACTGGTGTTGTAAATGGGAAGATGAACACCTCAGCAGGCTTCTCAGAAGTCCTCCTAAGGCCAGCTAGAGCAGAGGAACATGAGGATCTGTAAGCATGTGTGAAGGTAATAGACTTTGCATAAAGAGGGTTTCCCCATATCGCGTATTGGGTGATGTCTAAGGTAGGAACTTTGCTGTAAGAAAACAGACAAGGTGTTATTCCAACTTATAAACAGGCAAAATCTGGGCATGCAAAGCAGACAGAGACAGAATGTCAGTTATGTGTAGGGAACAAGACATCTGGTTGTAAAGGAGAGGGCAAAAATCACAGCTGAGCCCTGCAATAGGCAGGCAGCCCTCTTGGGGGGACATTCCAGCAATGCAACTCAGCATCACAAAAGGTGGTCAATAAAACAGAGTGCATTGGTCAAAGGCCAGCAATGGCTCTTCCTTACACTACCATTTAGCTGAATTCCAGGAGAGACTGAGCATCCCAAATGAAAACAGAGGGGGCACTTTGCTGGGGATACAGAGGGAAGGGTAGCTAGAATACAAAAGTCTGCTCAGCAAGCCAGGGACTTCAGTGAGACAGACTGATGAGACAGGATGGAAGGATGTTTATGAGATGTGCAGGAGAAATCTTTAGGAACCCTTGCCTTGGGTACTCTGCCCATCTCTGATTCTGTCACAAGCACAGAGGAGAAGGTTTGGGACTGGCTGTGTAGGACTTCAAGCGAGAAGTTAGTTGCATAAGTCTCACATTCACACTGACAGGGCAGGCATTCCCATGATACCAAACTTTATCCTTAGGGTAATGGGAATGGTTTTAAACCCCAAGAAGCCCACAGAACAAATGGAATATTCCTGCCTCCAGGAGTGAAGAGATCCATGGGAAAGATCTGTAGCTACAGCTACCACTGAGATACAGAACCCAGGAAGAGACAGTCTTCTCCATAGCCATTCTACTTAGTAATACCAAGGTCTTGCTCTTCTCTATGAAGCCAAACCCCCAAATCACCACCTGCAGTATCAGCCCTCCTGCAGCAACCCTGGCCATGACAAAGTAATCAGTTCTAGAGAGGTGTACTAGATGAGGACAATGTTCAGTGGGCTGTAGGGCTCTTTGTAGAAATGTCCCAACTGGATTGCAAACCAAGATAACAGTTGAAAGTTATCTTTCTTGCTTAAAAAAGCCCAACAAGGTACTCCGTTAGCGGTGAAAATGACATGCACAAGTGAGTTGAAGAACTAACTATAGCTGAATCACGAAGTACAAAGGGGCATAGTGTAATTAAGTTCAGTGTCCTTGTGGGAGGGAATGCAACAAAACCTTGCACTGTGACATTAAGCTTTAGAAAAGGGATTTAAAGAGGAAAGAAAAAAATGAGGAAGCTAGTCAAAAAGGCCCTGAAGTCAGAAGTAAGGAAATTAAAATCCTTCAACTCAGCATGAAGGCTACTTAAGCAACCATAATAGAGTCCCAGAAGGAATGCACAGCTTTTCAAAGAGATGGGGAAGGCAAGGAAAATAAAATTAGCATGGGAAAACAGTAAGGTTCAAGGGGTTATTTAAGCCAAACAGGTAGTATTCAAAACAAGAAATGAAAATCTATCTTAAGGGAAGGCAATGGGAAGGAACGCAACCCATGGAAGGTTGTCCCCATCACACAGATATGATCCAAAGTTGTGATGACCGAGAAATGAGCTAGGCTGAGGGGTGAAAGGTAAGGGGAAAATAGCTAAGGAAGGAAAAAATCAGTAACTGGAAACACGGATACACAGATTTCATTGGGTAGTAACAGTGAATAAGGTGACTGCTGAGAAAATAAGCTAGTTCTTATCAGCATGGAGGATACAAGTTGCCTGGAGTGAAGGAGTTTAGGAGAAATAGGATAAAATCAAGAGTGGGAAAAAATAAGTAAATTAAACCCCAGGAGATCCCTGGAGCCAGCTGGAACAGGGAACTGCTCCCTGGGATGGTGTAGCTGGACACTGATCACAAGTTGTGATTTTACAGTGAGCCCATATGGAAAGTAACCAAACTGCTGCACTGAGACACTTCCCTATGTCTTACCTGTGGCACTAACAGCCTCTTGACGTCTTACACAGCTCAGAGTGACCTCTGAGTATATGAGGAGACCTGGGAATGCCTCATGACCACTCCAGACTATGAACAGCATGAAGCATCACTTCTAAATGAGCCAGGTGATGTGGAGCCTTCCTCACTTTAATTTAGCTGGGCTGCAGCAAAGCCCCCTGTCCCCAGCTGCATCCAACCTGCAGCACAGAACACACTCCTCCGGGCTTCAGTCATTTGTGTGGTCTTTTCAGTAATTATCCATTGCATTATCCAAGGAGAGAGCCCAGCATTTACTGGATTACTGGGTCTTAAAGACACAGCTCACTGGTTTGGGAGCCAGCTGCCCTGCTGCACAGCAATGAGCAAACGTTTCTCTTTTCTCCTCCATTTTTGAGCTGCACAAGAAGGTTCTTTTAAAAGAACCACAAAAACAACCCCCAGCAAAACAGGAATGAGGGTACTACAACAAACCCCAGCCAGTTCTGGGTAACTTTCCTTATGCAATATATTCACAAAATTGGAAATGGCCATGGCTCATAAGAGTGCTCATACAGACCTCAGCTGAAAACAGGCAAATTATCATTCCATGTGCAAAACAAGGGCTTTTTGGGGTGTGTATGTGTGTGTCACATATACATTTCTGCACACACTAAAGGACTGACTCACGGTGTGTCCAGCTGCAGCATATGGCTAAGCTCTGTGGTGATGTCTGCTTTTCAAAAGGCAGATGCCCTCAAAGAAGCAAGAAAGAAGGGAGTAGAACACATAGTGGTCACTAGCTGAGGGGACCCCATGGTGCCTGCAGGCTAAGAAGATGATGGCAGCACATGCTGCAGGATATTGGGTCCTGCAGCAGCCAGCACAGATCACATCCTCAGGCCCAAGATGCAGGAGGGTCATTGTGGTTGGGTGGGATAAACCAGCTGAGCAGGACACAGTTAATCAGTTGGGATGGGGTATAATTCTACAAGGGGTTGCATGGGGTTCCTACACACAGTTAAGCAGTTGCTGTTTCATGCCCCAAATGGTTTCCTTCCATGAAAACTATTTCTTTCCACGTGCATGCATGTGCACACAAGTAAAAGGAACCATACTGTCTATTAAGAGATAATGACAACGTGCCTTAGTATAAAGACAACAAGATCTATTTGCATTGAGGACAGAGAACCTGACTGCTTGGTAATCCTCTACAGATGGCTGCAGGTTACCTGTCCAGCTCCAGTTTGAAGAGATCAATCATCTGACTCAGTCCCTCAGCCATGGTAGGTCCAGGTTATGACACTAAAAGACAGAGCAGAAGTGATAAACAGTTTATTTAGGAGACAGAGACATGTCCTCCATCAGTACATGACACTTAATATCCTCTTATCCTTTTCTGCTGATAAATATTCAGACAGAGGTGCTGTCTGAATAAGGAGCTGTTTGGGCTGACATTTTCATATTGATGCAAATGAATGTAATAAGGGCTTGCGTGAAGAAACCTGAAGTTCTGCCTGTGTCTCTAGAGCAAACTCTGTTTCACCAGATATTCTTTGCTACCACCGCAGCAAATACTCAGCACAGGAACATTGCAGCAGCTCAGACTAAAGGTCCCTCCAGCCCAGTTACTTGTCTCCAAGAGCGGTCAATGACAGACATGCTACACAAGAGGATATGCATAGGACACGCACACATGCAGGATTTATTTATGCAGAATACTCCTTCAGGACAATTCTTGGGGAATCCCAGTGCCAGAGGCCATGTCTTTTATTTAGAAAGCTCTAGGAAGGATTTTCTCCCACCTTTTCATAAGAGAACAGATATTCCTCAGCCCCCTTTACTGCCTACATTTGCAGCAATAGTTACTAAAGCAAATCCCTGATATGGATATTACCAAATATGAGCAGAACCAAACCTCAGACTCTGATCTGGTCTAATTAAATACCCCAGTATCTCTGCTCTTTTTATTGTAGGCTTTATTCGCTGTTACAGCATGTCCATCAGGATGCCAGCCCAACTGAAGGAAGCAACACTGGAGTTACATCACTGTCATAGGGCAAAATTCAGTTCATTACATTAATCACTCATTACATTTACATTAATCTGTTTCTCAGTCGCCTAGTTTACACATCAAGTAATACACTCGCTCTGGCTCCACTTACCCAGAGTCAGGAGCAGGGGGAGGTTATTGCAAAACCCCCCTGAAACTCTGTTTGTCCAGCACTAGGTTGGCTGCCTTCCACGAGGAATGTGTTTAGTTAACTGAAAAGGGTTTGGTTGAAGTTTGCCAGCAAGAGATCATAGAGTTCTAGACAACACATACTGTGAGTATGAACTCCAGTCAACCTTTGGAATACCTCTGTGAAGGCAGGAAATTGAAATATTGTGCTATATTGGCAACTAAATGGTCATTTATCATCCATGCTAAGTTTGGAGTGCAGCGAAATGATTTCTAAGCTCTCAGAGGGCCCTTATAAACAATTACAAGGTGTGTCTGTATAGATATAGATTATGTATTGAAATACAGTTTCAAGAAGAATATGAGATATTCAGCAGCTGCATCTACCCTCCTATTTGCCTAAAATCAAATTTGGACTCTGCTCAGAGGCACAAACACTGTATTAAAATACAATCCGGTTAAGACACCTACTGACAAAGGCAGGGAAACTCACAGTTAAGGGGGAAAACACGCCATATGTTCTGCAGTACCTAGGAACAACAGGGAGCATTCAGCTCATCATTAAAGAGGCACCCAGTTGTGCCTAGGTATTGGAGAACATATGGAACACTTCCCTGCTCATGTCTGAATTTCCTTACTGTTGTCAGCTTATGCATCAAACTTGACTCTTTGCTTTTTCTTTATGTAAATAGAGAGTTCAGGGGGTTCTTTAAGCAGTTGTTTAGTTTGTAAAATATCACTTTGTTTTGCTACTTCTCAGCCCCATCGACATACATAAAGTATTGCAAACCTGTTTGTAAGAAGAACTCAGGACAGCTGGACACCACGATAAATCAGTGAGTTGCTCAGGGTGTTTCCAAGCAGGCACCTATGGTAGCACTGATTTGAATTGCTGTAACTGAAAAGCAGCTCTCTTATACTCCACTCCTTCCCTTTAAACCACCTCAAGGTTTTAAGGCAATATAGTCAACCCATTGCACTGTGAACATTTTTGTTTTAAATACAAGAGTACAAGGAGTCCCCAGTCAGAATTGCCATGCATTGTGCCTGCTGCTGTAAATCTAGTTATGAGATCCAACATACTTACAGTCAAAGCAGCTAAGGAGCTAAAAGAGAACCCATAATGGTTATTGTCCCTGTTTTAAAGCTGAGATTTCCCTCGAGCAAGAATGAGCTGGGACTAGGATGAACTGAACTCTGCAACCCTTGCAATGAGCATCCCGCATCCTGCTCTGGCCACTTCTGCCGTTATTTAACTGTGTATTTAAAGCAGAACCTGTCCTAGATGGAGATGGCAACCCCATCAGCAGGGCTTAATCCACATGAATACGATTCCCTGCAGCAAGTAGTGCTAGGAACACGCTGGCACGGTGATGGGCTCCTAATGTCAGCACGAGAGGGCAGCATTGCTCATGACACCCGTCTATTTGCATACGGCAGCCGCTTCTTACAGGGGGAAGTGGCACCCGAAAGTCCCTAAATCCCTAGGAAAGCCCCCATGGAGATTTGGCTGAAGCATTTTTGGTTCAGAACTTGCATGGAAATTAACTTTGCCTCGACGATGTTTTATATTTTGAAAAGTAATAAAATATATTCTATGAAATACTTCTTTTTATGAAATCTGGTGTCTTTGAAACCACTCCTGTCATGTCAAAATGCAGCTGAATTTGGTGTTCTCATTAAAAATGTATTGAGGAGAAGAATATGGAATCAGTGGGGTCTGTGCACTCATATGAGGTCTGGTCTGATCTGAACTATAGTGTGATCTTACATATGCACTGGATAACCAAATCTCCTATTTTCCTAAAAGAGTGAGTTTGTCTTCATGTGTTGCCTCACAAACCCCTCTCTTCCCGTCTCCAAATCAGACTGTTCTTTCAGTAAAATTAAAAGCATCAAAATAAAACTTTGATGTTTCAGAAACTTCCCATTTTGTCCATTTTGCCCCACTTCATTCCGAAAGCAGCAAACTCATCACAGGCTCTGAGCTGGGCAATTATTCCCTTGACTTTACAGGGTGCTGAGCCCATCATTGCTGCTTATACAGGTTTTACAGTGACCTGAGAAAATCCTGCAGAGAGATTCCTGCAGGTCCCATGGGGTCCTTGTGTTACTTGCCAGCTTGAATGTCTTCATTTCTCTCCCAAACCAGGTACACCCTTAGGTGCTCAGGTGAGGAGGATGAGGAGTGCATCTGCCCTTCATTGCCTTTCCCCAGCCACACCTGGAAGGCCCCAGAGAAGACCCTTTCAGAAGCTCTCCTGGGGATGTTTGCTGCCCTCAGCCAGTAACCGCTACCCTTGCTCCATCCTTACCAGCCACACTGAGCAATTCTTGAGTTCACCCCTTGCAGTCTAGCCAGAAGAAGTAATGAGGAATGAGTAATAGCCAAGGAAGAAATTTCTTTTGCCTGATATGTTATTCATGGGGGCACAAACGCAGCCTCCTGGCTGAAGCAGTATCATGATCAGGAAGAACGCAATGGAGAAACACCCATGGCAAACTGCCCAGCATCTTCTTCCTTAGCAAAAGGAGGGAGGGAGGTTGCAAGAGGCTGGTTTTAGCCAGCCTGGATGACTAAAACCAAGCCAAACTCAACCGACCTCCCCAGGCCAATGTAAAACCGTACTCCCAACTCAATCCCTGCAGAAAATGAAGCAAAGAATGAGATTTAAATCAAAACAATGAAACAACTCGCAGTACTGCAACTCATTTAGGTTCCTCCTTCAATCCCCACCTTCCTTCCCCTCTGATAAGGCATTAAAATGTTCTTTGATCCAACTACAAAAGCTAATTCATATTTGGAAAAGCAGCTTTAACGAAGATAATAGGTTAATGAGAAAACTATATACTAAGACCAGTGAATTATCTGATCGTGCTGACATATTCAAGACTGTAAGTATCCTTGGCAAGCTGAACCATGTCATGTATTTGCATAAAAGGGTGGAAGATTTACAACAGAGCACTTGCCATGAGCAGAAAGGGAAGTGCGGGCAGCAGTGGTGTTACACTTAATTTTCTGTTGCAGCCTACTAGCTCTCCAGGGGAGCAATGCCTTTCCATGTATTAAAGTCCTTGAGAGACTGGATATTCCTCAATGCAGGTTTTAATAGCCTGTGTTGTGCTGACTGCTCAGTTATTAAGTTGTCTTCCAGAAGTTCAGCCAAAGCTTCCATCTGAAGAGGCTGTGGAGCAAACACATCAGTGTTCCCCTTCAGAGCCCCCTGTCACCTTGAGAACCGGCAGCATTGTCTCTAGGGAAACTGCAGTCATTGCTCTGCTCCATGGAAGGAGAGAAAAGTGGAGCTGCAGCTGGGGGTGCACAAACCTCTGGGCCCTCTCGTGCTGAAGGCTCATCTGGATCTTGAGAAACAGCTTCACCAACCTCCCTTCATCTGCACTTTGCACTGACATGACTTCAGGACTTGAGTTCAGAGCAAAGAGCAACATTAATGATGCTCCTCATCTTTTCTTTGCTGAGCACTGCTGGCCAGAATGAGGTTTTAAAGAGCAAAGGAGGCTGGCAGGATCCCTTGCAAGAGCTGTATCTTGCTTTTGATCTTTTATCTCCTTTTGGCAAATAACAAAAGCACATTCATGAGTCAAAACCTTGGAGGTGTCTTTCCAATCAATAGTGCTTCTGTACCCACTTAAAATGAAAAGAAACCCCATTTGAATGCCTGCAATGCACTTTTTAGCGCAGCCACAAGACCGATGGCATAGAAACACAAGCAGAAGCCAGAATTAGTCAGCTCCATGGTTAAACATCCATCTCTCCATGAGCCAAAGAGCAATTGTTTGTAGACTGGGCTTCAAACTCACCAACATCACACAGCTGGCAAGGAATATTCCCACACTGCCTTCAAATATTGGGGTCACCCTGCTCCAGAGGAGCCTCCAAACCTGGGACTCAAACATACCGACCTTAAAAGAGTACCAGATGCCTCCTGCCACTCTTCCAGGCTGCATGGACAGGTGATGGGATGCTGCTCTCTCTTCCACATGGAAGAGAATGAGAAGGAAGCCGATCCTGCACACAGGGCAGCACAGAAATGGCAAACCCTTTCGCATCACCAGTGTTTGCACTGTGCAAGGAGTAGGAGCAGCTAGCCCTGTCCTAAGTGGCAATTAGTCAGACAGAAGTTATATCAAGCAACAGCACAGAAACGTAACCTTCTCTCTGGTGAGGCTTTCTGAATTGCCAGTCATCTGGAAAGGCTGTGTGCCTGCAAGGGTCATCCGTTTAGCAAAGAGTGCACTAGTGGCATGGCAAGGCAATAAGCTATCTAGCAAGACTGTACAAATATAAGCTGCAAGTAGATCTGAGCTCTTGAAACTAAAGATTTAGGATTTTATTAAGGTCAAAAGGGCTCTGCTGCAGTTCATAGGCACTTTTGGTTTATTAATTGAGTCCCAAGTTCTGGCAGCCTGCAAGGAGATTTCTAAACGTGCATCAGCTGCTTTCGATTGCAAGGAGAGAGGTTAAAACCTGCCAGTAACTCTGTTTGCAGCTCTTAAAAGTTTTGGCTAAAAACGTGTTTTAAACTATTACCAACTACTTGACTTGAGTGCAAGGAAGGAGGAAGGGAGAGGAAAAGCAGCGCGGGTTTTGTTTAGACTCAGAGCACAGTCGCCAATGTTAGTGGGCTCCTCTAAAAGAGGATTGGTGCTTTCTAGCCAGCCAAAGCCTCGCCGTTTCCCTCGTGTCCTGAGTTTTAATGCCTACCACCTCATGCAGCTCTCAGCATGTTTCAGAATGAAGAGCATTTGATCAGCATCATGCTGGAAATGTGATGCCCAAGCAAAAGGGGAAGATGTCTCATTTTCATGCCTTGTTTAAGAATGTTGGGCACACAGGAGATGAAAGAACTCGACAGTAACAAGTAAAGCAGTGCAAAGAAAGCCAGGTGCAGCACTTGCTAAGATCTGTCCCAAGCACTTGCCAAAGAAGTACCACCAGACCACCAGAGCAGCTGATTTGCTCGTGCAGTACCAAGCTCAAAGTGACCATGTCATGGCTCTGAGGAGATGTCTTAGCTATGCAGGAAGTGTTTCACTTGAGCTTCAAACCCAGTAAGTCTCTTTTACTACCCCATTGCACTACCAGGATGATTTATTAGCTGATGTCTTAAAGGCTTTCATATCCAGCAGCGGCCAGATGCCAAAGACAGAGCTGCCCTGCTATGAAAGGGACTTAACTCATGACAGTTCATCCTGATGACATAAAAGGCTACAGATCTGGCACTTCCATTTCCCCTGACTGCAGAATCAGCCTTTGGAAACACTGTTCCAACCCCTCCTAGCTGCTTGCCTCTTCTGTGTCCACATCCCATTCCAGCCTTTGTCCTCTGGAGGCCAAGCAGCTCCTATAAGAAGACAGAAGCTGGTCTGAAAATGAATGTCAATTTTGAAAGCAGATTTAAAGTTCTTCCTGGTTGAAGTGCTGTTCCTCAATTAGATGTTAGTCCCCTTGCACATGAAGCTCCCTGCCTCCTGGAGCTCAGTGCTCATAAACACACTCTGTGCTATGGGTCCATACAAAGCTTGCATCAGGTGCTGACCTGAGCAAGAACCAGACAAGAGATCTTCATGATCAACTCAACACCAGCTCATCCTCTGGCATGTCTTAAATGACTTTGTGTTGCACTTTGAATTACACCACCTTCTGGCAAACTTGTCAGATCTCACAATATGATGAAACCAGACATCCGAATACCTCAGCTATGCCAACTGAAGCTGAGATATCCCCTCATTTTTTACCACATTTATCTTCTTTTAGCAGGGATATGCTGCTCCCCTCCTTACATTCCTTCTCCTAATCAGCGCTGTGGCACAGAAAGGCTAGAAGTCAGCAAGAGTCCATTGAGCTCCTCATGAAATCAGGTAGCAAAATGCCTTCAGCTATTTGGACACAGCTCAAGTCCATGCTCCTTACCTATGAGGCCATCTCACTTCTTTGTGTAACTCTGTAAACAACAGTAAAAGATCTGATGATTGGGAAATCTCAATATATAGGTACTATATAGCTCAAGGGTGCCTCTTGTTAACAACTGTAACACATGCTACATAAACTGAAATGCTGAAGTGTTTATTTAGCCCAGAACAAGGTTACTACCTTGTAAACAGGAAGCACCCTCAAGCTATCCCAGCTGCATTACAGGACACCCAGGCTTTGCTGACCAGGTCTGGAGTGACAGGGTTGTCCTGGAGAGCCTTCAGGATGCTGAATTGGTTTGGATTTTGGTCTGAGATGGTACCTTGCCCTGGATATCATCTCATGTATGGCATATATGGTCACCTATGCTGCCAAGGGACTGTCCAAACCAACACCCCAATAAGACATGTATCATAAATATCAAAATATCAAAAAGTATCAAAATAAACATTAAAAAAAATCAAATTACATCTGCTAAAACCGCACATCTATTGCTATTTATCACCCAAGCTTGTAAGTCTTTTTTACGGAGTCATCACTGGACTTCATTACTGGCAGCCCACAAAATGGATTTACCCTGTTGCTGCTAGAAAGCACCATGTGTTTTAATGAAAGACTCTTTACATAGCTGGAGACACAGGAGACAAACCTCCTGTGGCCATCAGCTATAGTGCAGCAAATACCTTTGGAACCTCATCAGTTTTTAGCAGTTTTTTTTCACTTTACCAATTTCACTTCCTAATTCCATAAATTCCACACATTCCACCTCAACAAATCACCACTTGAGCAATTTTTCCTAATAAGCTCTGTTGCAATATCAGCTATTTTTTTCTCCAATAACATATTTTTGCCCTGTGGTTTCAGCCTTCAGCTTCTTTTTCATCTGAGCTAGAAACATGTTGGTTACTTGTGAAGCTTTCAGTATTGGTTCAACCGATTGAAAACATGTTGCATGTTTTGGCCTCATTAGGAATCAAGTTAATGACTCTTCCCATAAAGAAGACAGCAATGATAAATCTGTTTATGACTTCTCCAAGGGAACTCCATGTGCATGGGGGCTGAAGGAACATCTAATGGAGGAACAGCACTTCAACCAGGAAGATTATTCAAGGAAGGACTTTTTAGCATGCAAAATCAGTTTGGGTGTACAGCAGCCAAATGATACAAACATTTAATAGCCCATAAATACTCTTTCACAAGCAAGACCGTAATAATTGCTAGATCAAAAACCACCTTCTTGAAAGTCTGCTGCATTTGTGCTTGGTGGAGTGAATTTATACTCTTAGAACAACTCTTAGGAGCTACATGATCCTCTTCACAGTTCTATTTTGGGTCAGCCTGAACATTCATGAAGTTTAAAATGAGATCTTATTCCTTATAGCTAACAATAAAAATCTCCAAGGAAAATCCAACAGGGAATGGTGGCATTTTCATCTATGCTGGTGTCCTGTGGTATTTGAAAAGGTCATCCCTACAAAGTAATATAGCCCATTAGGGATTTAAACTCTAGCATAGGACTGTGTAAGATTTAAGGATGCAAGTCAGTGCCTGACTCAGAGTTTTCTACCTATGACAGATGTTGTGGTTGGCTACTTCATGGGGTTATTTCTAAGCAGTGGGTGAGTTCACACTGTGCGAGACATCACTACTCTAAACAAAACTATACCTTTCTATTTATTTCTGGGATTCTAACCAGCTACTCGTGGTTCTAAAGGAACTTCCTTGTAACGTGAATACGGAAATTCAAGTTAAAGTATTACAAAGTATGCAAACAACAAGCACTGAGCTTGGCTTCTGACAAGAAAGACAAGGAAAGGGCATGTGCAGCTATTTCAATTCATAAAATCATCTGTGGGACTCAGGTATTCTCATAACTGCATTGATTTTAAAGGACACAACCCCATTTCCATCTCTGTATGTTTTACCAAGGTTTGTAGTGACAGGATAAGGGGCAATTGCTTTAAACTAAAAGCGGGTAGGTTTATATTGGATGTAATGAGGGTGGTGAGACACTGGCACAGGCTGCCCAGAGAAGCTGTGGCTGCCCCATCCCTGGCAGTGCTCAAGGCCAGGTTGAACACAGGGGCTTGGAGCAAGCTGCTCCAGTGGAAGGGGTCCCTGCCCATGGGAGGGGGTTGGAACTGGGTGATCTTAAGGTCCTTTCCAACCCAAACCAGTCTGGGATTCTATGCTGCTATGCAGAGCAGTACACACAGTAATTGGGATCTTACATTAGAAGGGATTAATTTATATTAAATTTAAATGGTGCTCTTTTCACCAAACTGTTCAACACTATAATCACTGCAATTTGTCATTGAAGTGTAAAGACAAGTAGCATGTTGAAGCACAAGGATTGACACCAACAGCTCTCTCCCTTGTAACGAAGAGCATTTGCCACTCTTTGACCCAGCAAGCTTATCCAAAGAACACAATGTGTTTTGTCTGCCCTGTACACAACAGAGCCCTTATGTTAGTCATTTAAGTTTATAGTGGCTTTACACTTTCTAACAATTCCTGTCAAATCATATGCATTTATTTAAAGCTTGCCCAACGTCTGGTATTTACAAATACTGCCATATATTTTAAAGCAAGAGTCATTCCCAATTAGCCAAAGTGTTTAAGAAAATCATCATATATTCCAAATGATGAAAGATCACAGAAGGAGGTCTCCTAATGGATGACAGGTGCAGGAATGAAAGCATCTAAAGACCATGAGCCAGAATCTAAGGAGTCACGGAATATCATCATTCACTTTAAATTGCACCCAGGTCACAAAGTCAAATAAGACTCTTGGGCTCATAAGGTATTCTAAACTACCGCTCTTTTTAGAACACAAGCAACCCCCCCCCAAAATGCTGGTTCTCATAATTGAGGTAAGTGAAGGGAGGTGTATATGGAGAATAAATAAAAATAAATACTATAAAATAAACATAAAATTGAAAATCATGGATATTTTTACCTGTTTTCAGGGAGCTACAAAAAGCCTGGATAAGCTCTAGTCACCCCCAGAGATCTCCTGATCTTCTGTTTGATTGCAAAACACTGAAAACCAGGCAGGTTTACCAACATATTCCTAAGTTCGCATCCACTACATCCTGTAGTTACAAGACTACTTTCAGGCTCTTCAAGCACAGATGATAGCACAAAATGATCTTTGTCATAAAAATAACATAGAGTGAGATCAACAGATCTATCGGATGAAATTCTCCAAATCAGGCTCTCATTTGCTAAACACAATGATCTATGTTTTGCTGTAACTTGTACGTGTAGTACAGGGATATTGCACAGAACTGGTGTGGTCTTGCCTGCAGTTAAAGTGGGAGATGCTGGTACCATGCTGTACCACAGCAAGATCTTCCAAGAACTCACAACTCAAGTGATAAAGCAATAGTGGCTTTCTATTTGTAAATGCTCTTACAGTTACTTTGAAATTGGGGAGATTTAAAACTTGAAGGCCCTTGAACAGTTACAAAGAATTACCAAAAGAGGTACACAGGATAAGATGGGAATATGGAAATACAACCTGCCTTAAGTCACTGTAATATCACCACAACATGATAAACGCACTGTAAGGTTTGGACAATGCCATAAAGCTTTAATCACATGGCAGTAAAATTAACTGCAGATTTAACTCTAAAGCACAAACCTGTCCTTCAGTGTCCTCCATCATCTGTCAGCTGAATGCCTCACAGGTCTTCTAAATGCTGAGCAAAGCACAGACCTAGCGAGCATTCACAACTCCCATTCACTTGGAAATTCCATTCGTGTGGCTGGTTTCCCATTTTCTGCTTGGTTTTCTTCAAGATATGGGTCAAGAACCCTCACTATTATTATGGGACAAAACCACATTCAGGCAAGGCAGTTTGGGATATATGGTTCTATTTTAGGTCCTCATGCATGGGAAGATGAAGGTGACTGCTGAAGAAGTTTGGAGAAATCCAGATCAGAAACTTTTCTAAGGTTGTCAGAGCTAATCAATATAGAATAAAGATACGAACATCACAGCCCAGTCAGACACACAGATACCATGGATAAACAATGAAGTGCACAAGACCACTAGATTCAAAGGGAATCAGTAAAACCAACTAACTGGCCTAGACATCACCAGAACCCATGTGAAAAAAGCCACCAAGTCACTTAGAGCATGGCTGTGCACAAACCTTGTCCATGAATTCATGTCATCTGCCCACATCACAGCAGGGAAGCAAAAGAAAGCACCGCAGTCTTCATCTGGAGACCAGAAATGGGCAAAAAGAAGCAGAGGATGAGCAGGACTTGGCCCTAACAGCATGCTGCTAGTACTGTAATCAACATAGACTCATTTCCAGAGCAATGAGGAGAGCAGAGGGAACTCAGACTCAGTAACAGCACCCTCCTTACAGACCCCTCCACACTGTGCAGTGAAAACACAGCCCTGCACCACACTCAAGGCAGATAATTAATCTTTAATCAAGTTTTGTGTGCATGTTTAAAACACGTGCAAACGTTACGTGCTCAGCCGTCCATATCTAGGCACGTTCTTTGCATGTGCAAAAGGAGGCTTCATAAATATGCTCTTTATTTCCTAAGAGCCGTACCACAAATTCCATAAAGCATTCATTTTATACAATCTCAGGGTATTTGTCAAACAAGATAATACTCTGCAGAGCCAGAAAGGGTATGAATAAAAACCCACTGGTAGAAAGAGATAGGATTCATATTTCTAGTAGTGGATCAGTTGCAATGGAATCTGTTTTTCATCATAACTTTGGTACCAAAGCTACTGTGGCTGCTGATCACACGGAGATAGTGCTGTATTTCAGTCTGCTTCTGAAAACCCCAGCATTTCAAAGGGAATTCTCTTTCACTTCAATAAAAATCAAAGCAGCCCAACACCTTACCCAGTCACACAGCACAGCTTCCACTGTCACAAGGACAGCATCCAAGCTACTGGATAACACAGTTCTTACCTTGCTGATTGCTCTGCTGATGTCACCGAGCTCATTAAGGGTAAGTCAGGATTAGGACAAGGCAAAACCTTGTCTGAATTGGATTGGAGCCCAGAGCTCTTGGGTTAACAAGAGGAAAGGTGAGGGAAGACCGGACATTGGCTACACTGGCAATAGCATTTTCCTGTCCCCAGGACTCCTGCCATCAGTCGGCTCACTGAGTGGTACAGGAGGCAATTTCATTACAGATGGGCAATCCCGAATAGAGCATGGAGGGCTTCTCCACTTGCTATTTTACACAGACTTTACTTAGCTTTTACTCCTCACAAATGAGCCTATAGGTTCATTAAGCCTCATGCGATATATAGAGATTGTTCCCATTCATCTGTATTCTCTCAACCGCTCCCTGCAACTGTTTAACTATATAAAAAGAGAATGAAGAAAAACAAGCTCTGTGTTGTCTGATTTTGGGGGCATTTCTCACATTGAAAACAATATTGTGAAAAATACTTAACTTACACAACTTTCATAGAAGTCTCTGAAGTTTTAGCTGCTTGTTTGCCACCTGATGTGCTTACCAATTGGCCAGAGAAGACCCAAGTTGAGTTATCCTGGAAGAAGTCCATGGGGTCTGGTTCCAGACTAAACTAAGAGGTGGAGGGTGTAACCACAAGGAGGAGCCCTGGCGTTGGGTGCCTCTTGCATCATACCGAGCCTGGCATATGGATTTCCCTGTTTCAAAAGAATTTTAAAATAAAAAGCACAGTTTTCATCAGACATATTTTTATATATATATTTTTTCACATTAGACTATCTTCTCTGTCTCTTGGACATTTGTTTCTCCCTTAAAACCAATATCTTGCAATGGTGATGGTTGTGAAGACTGTTGCTGGGTAAGAACAGACAAACCACTGCCTTTCTGAGCATGCTGGCACATCACAAGCACCTCTGCTGCCATTCATTGCTTTCCTCAGCCAGAAAGAGTCACCAGATCTTCCCCCGCCACATCTGCAGAAGAGACCCTGGGAGGAGCACAGCAGTAGATTAGAATCATGTCAGTCTCAATTAAATTTAGTGTAAATCAGAGTGACAAGAGAGAATGTTCAAAGCTCTCATTTATTTCCTTTCGGGAAAGAAAAAAAGAGTAGTTGGTCAACACATCCACCATAATATTTTCAAGTCAAATAAAAACACACAGTAGAAATAAAACTGCACATAGTTCCTAACTTTCAACTAGCAAGAAGCTTGAGAGGGGCATGAAGCATTCTCTTGACCCTGAGAAATGCTCTTCCCAGCCATTAGAACAAATCCTTCCAGCTCTGCTACATGGGGCACGCAGAATCAAGGCTTCAGAGGTCATACATCTCCCAGTAGTTCTCCCCAGATCTTTGAGTCAACTGTGAATGCAGCAGGAACATACTGGAAGAAATCACTGCACTGACTTCAATACCTAAATAAGGCCTGGAAGCCCAGCTCTGAGAACCTTTGAAATAAATCACAGCAGTGAACTTCAGCCCACACCTACCTGACATCTGAACCACTGCAAAACTAGACCAATTACACCCAAGCTCTTCAGCAAGACGAGGCAGCTGTAAGGATGTGTTAGCCTTTTGCTATCACATCCAAACCATCTGAAGTGGCAGTCACCAGCCCTTAAATCAGAAGCAGGGAGGCAGCACTTGCAGTTTTCAACAAGTCAAAGATGCAGCTAAAACTTCAGCCTTAAAACTGAGAAGTCTGGGCTTACCTGGGGGTCACCTTTGCTGAGGAGCACAAATTGCAAGGATAATGCTGCATCACCTACAGGATTTCACAGGGTTTGATGCATCCCCAGAGAAGTCTCAGTTCAAAAGGTGGATTAACAGGTACTACCAGTGGAAACACAGTTACAGCCCCAGCCTGATCACATCTCAGAGGCCCACGCAGCTTGTAAGCTGCCTTTCCACTTCAAGTTGGGATCTAACAGGGGGATGTTAAGAGTTCATCCTTCTGCTGTTTGCCAGTTAAACAAGGGCTCCCTTTGATTTTAAATTACTGAAAACTCTTGATTCAACTAAGGCAGCCTGACTAGAAACAGTTTCTATAAGCCACATCGTGCCATTAATACACTGACTTAATGCAACAAATGCGAGACATCATCTAGGTTTGGCTATTAAGAGCCAATCTGCTCCCAGCAATGTTTGCAAGGGACTTTATTTTTCTTTCTCCTTTAGAACTGATGGAATCTTTCAAGAGCTGTAAGATTTAGAAATCCACAAAACATCGAAGTTGTTTTCCTATTAGCGTACCCCATGCAGAGAAAGCCAGCCATTATCACCTTTGAGGAATGTGGTCTGCCCCTGTTAACGTTCGCTTTGACCTCCAGCACTGGTTAAAAGATGTCACTTTCTGGAGAATTCTGTGGCTATTGTGTCATCCAAATAGAAAACACTGCCTTGTGCCTTGCAGGAGACCCTTTAAAAACATGCTGATATAAAGCAGAGGGATGCCTGCATCCTCCCTCTTGCTGTGTCACTGTACAGCTGGCTTCACAAAAGGGCTTGTGGGATATTCCTCAGGCTTTTTCCTAACCCTGCCAGGGGTGTCGTAAGTCCATTCAGTTTAGTAACATCTCTTCAAACCCCTCAAAAATGAAGTACACACATAGATGCTGCAAAATCAACCACATTTTACCTAGCGGTGACTCCAAGTCAGCATTGCAATGCTGAGAAATGAAGGTTTCAATTAAACCCTTAAGGACAAAATGCCCATGACTTCAAAGAAACCAGGATTCGCATCTAAAAACATGCAGAAAAGGTACATTAAGGGGAAAAAAAGCTGAATACCGTTTTTCTTCGCTCAGCACCACAAATTAAACCAGCCCTAGCAGTTTCTGGTCCAGCAGAGGCAAACATTACTATGTGCACAAATAAATCTCTTTCCCAACACTCTCATATCAGTCAAATACTTGCAAGGAAAGCAGCCAATCAGTTAAACCCCAGAAAGCCCAAGTTTGCAGGAGCACGAAGAAGGCCACCATCCAGCTCATCTTATCTAGTATCTGCAAGACAGATAACACTATGGAGCTTGGTGTCTGCACTGGAAGAGCCTCTGTAGGAAGGTTGATTAACTTAATGGTATTTATACCATCAGTGAGTTATCTGCAATTCAATCAAAGAGCCATCAAGGTCTGTTTATTAGTGTATTTTTAAAAGGCATTTAAAGCATAGGTTGAGCACTTATTGCATAAACCTAATAAACAAGATTACAAGAATCTAATCGCTGCTCTTTGAAAACAGCGCTTTCTGTGGCAAGAAGCGATTTACAATCATTACTGATTTGAAAAGGAATGAAAAGATGAAAGAAAAACAGCAGCAGAAAAAGGGGCAGAGGAAGGCATTTATGTTTATTTTTTTTAATAGGATTTGCTACCAGCGTGTAAACATCACACAGGATCCCGGCATCCTATTATTGCTCATTGCAGATGTGCACCACAAGCCTGGTCTCCCCAGTCTCCAAAACTGGTTCTAATATTGCTCTTGTTTGGATTGTAACCTGACCCACACCTTCAATTCATGTTTTGTTCGTGTCTACCTTTTATGCTGGATGACTTTCCTTGTCTTCATCACCTCAGCAAGTCAGAAGGGAAACACTTTTAAAAGCTGTGGCATTACTCAAGCTGTGAGGTGGGCAACTCAAGAGGAGCAACATCTTAAACCATTCTGCACAGGGGCAAGTAAAAAGTCAATAAGGAAATACCAGAGTCAGGCTCTTTTTAACTCGCTGAAAATGTGAGAGAGCAGCTCATTTCCTGATCACTCATGTGGAAATGGTAAAAAATAATTAAGAGCAATGGCTAATCACCAAATCAAAGCAAATATTAAATAAGCAAACTTGCTTTCTGCCATCAAGTTCAGTGTGCAAATGAGCAATGGCATTCAGAAGTTCAGCCCTTAGACCAATTAAAAAGGGTACATTAAAGGGAAAACAAAGATTCAGTTTATGGCTACATCGTGTTAGAACATCAGCATTATGGGAGCTGTTGGAGCCACATGGTCAAGACTGGGACAAAACACAGGGATTTGCTTTAGAGTTAGACATAAATACTATACAAAACCACAATGTAGATGGGAAAAGCAAATTCTGCCCTTTGCTCCTATCCTATCCCACTTACATTTCACTGCTGCTTCCAAGCAGGCTGCATTCTAAAGATGAGGATGCAGACCCCTATTGCTGAGCATGATCTGACCCTAAGCTCACGTTGCCACAGCTGATTTGGATCATGTTTACCAGTAACATGAAAGAATTAACACACATCTTGATTTTTAAAGGAAACTACCACAAGTTTGCAATTCCTGTCTCTGAGTATAACCTTGAAAGAGCACATGAGGGACCCACGCTGCAGCCTGGGGTCAGACAGGGAAACAGCAGTGGTTCTTGCAAGCAAATCCTAAGGGTAGAAGACCAAACCCAAACTGGTTATGATGGAATTGCTGTTCCCAGATTTGCAAAGTTCTGTTGATAGGTGGATCCTTGGGAAGGAGTATACGTTGAATTACATTCAGCTCTGATACAAGTTCATTGAATTTGAGGGATGTGCAGTCTATTACATGTTAAATTCTCAGAACCTAATCTGAAAAGAGGAATCCGATGGTTAAAACTTCAGAAGGTTAAGATGAGGCAGAAGGCAAAGATAGGAAAGAAACCAGAACAAGTCACCATGCAAAGGAAAGCTCATTACAATTGTTTCCAAGCACTGTAAGTCTCCTTCTGCAACTGCTGCTCAAGAAGCCAACCATCTGGCTGTGTTATGGTGATCCAAAGTATGTATTTGCTGTGCTATATGTACCATCAGCTAATTCAAGGATACTAGGACACCTAGAGACTGCAGTATTGAGATAACACTGGGAAGGGAAACATCATCTTTAGGGGCAATAAGCCACAGAGCTGGCAGTGTGGCCAGGAGGATAAGGCAATGAGAAGGAACACAGAGACTCCTTGCAGTTTGCAACACGCAAACTCCTCCAAGCAATCCCATTTCCTTCTATTGTTTGGAAGAACTTCTAGTAGGATGGCAAGATCTGGAAGGAAAAGAGCAGCACACCCTTGTG